TGCCTGGTGAGATCTTCAAGTGCATGAGAGCGCCATGTTGCTTGTACTCTTTCCCCTGAAAAACGAGGTCTACAATAGGAGAAAAAGCAACACCAGTGCCAGTGGCTTATCAGGAGATATGAAGAAGTGTGGAGAAATTGAATAAATTTAGAAAAACCTCTGGAACAGTGATGATTCTGCTGCCAGAGCCTCCTGCTCTGTACAGTTAGGAGGGATGCATGCTCCTTAATGTGACTCTTTCAGCATCACATCAAATGTGAGGATGTAAGGAAGGGCCTGTAAATAATTGTTAGGATTTGGAGGAAAAATCACAGTAGGGCATTCAAGATGTCCTGTAAAGATAAGGCCCCTGTACAAACAAAAAGATCAAAAGGAGCAGTAGGAACATTTAGTGGTGAAGAAAGTGATGGCATATTAATTTAATGATTCCCTATAAAACTTGAAGTTACTGTTCTAAAGTATTTTGAGAGTCCCTGGGAAAGGAGGAATCAGAGTGTACAGCTGTAAGTCAGCGTGGCCACTTCTCCCATCAATGTGCAACACTCTGCTCATGGTCAGAAACAGACCTGGAAATGAAACATGAGACAAATAAGCCCTATTTCATTGCCATAATTGTGTTGATTCCATCAGGCTGTCTGCAGTCATTTAAAGATAATTGGAGGGGTGTTACCCACTCAATGTTGCTGTTTATGTGATGTGAGATGTAGGTGCAGTCTAGTTGGTTCTGCCAACTAATACTCAAAGAATATTGCTGCCTGTAAACTCTGGTGTAATTTGCTGGTACTGTACAGAGCAGAGATGTCCTTCAAATAGGAGCTTTTGTTATAGTAATGCCAGCAGCAAGGGAAAATATTCAGTTAATTTTCCTGGAGATAGAAGCTGCTGCTGTTTGGAAAACAGTGCATTACACCATCTGTTTCCTTCTGATTGTGCACTACCATAGCCATTGTTGTGATTAATTTCTTTGCTTCTAGGCACAAATTTGAGTGCTTGAAAGAAGATTAAAAGCTTGTTTGTGGACAGGGATGTAGCTAATGGCTAGATTTCAGGAGGATTGTGTGTACTTACCAACTTTACAGTTTAAGACATCAATCTTCTGTATGCATTTGATATGTGAAGAAAGACAGGAGAACATCCTTTTTCCTTGTAATAATCTACACGAATTGTTGAGGTTTTCACCATGTACCACTGGTGTCATCACATGTTCAAAACACCACTGGGACAAAGAGTCACTTTTCATAGAATCAGAGAATAGTTCAGGTTGGAAAAGACCTTTAAGATCATCAAGTCCAACTGTTAACCCAACACTGGCAGGTCCACAACTAAACCATGTCCCTAAGTCCCACATATATGTCTTTTTAAATACCTCGGAGATGGTGACTAAACCACTTCCCTGTGCAGCCTGTCAAATGTTTTTGTGAAGAAATATTTTCTACTGTTCAATCTGAACCTCCCTGGTGCAGCCTGAGGCCATTTCCTCTTATCCTATCTGCCTCATTTTCTAGTGAGGCTTGGCTGCTGAAAGAAGATGTGTAGTTTCATCCTAATCCCACTTGATTTATCTGAACAGGTCCTTAGGTCATAAGGCTGACATGGCCCAAAAGCCCCAAACAAGCAGTTATCCTGCCAGGCAGGAGGGAAGCCCTGCTGGCTGACAAATGGCCACAGGCATCTCCTGGCCACATTTGCTGCCTCCACTAGGAAACTCAGCAAGGAACATGTTGCAGTGTTGTCTCTGAGGATGTTGTTGTTGCCCCTTACTGGCCAGAAACACTGCCCCCAGTGACAAGCAGCACAAGAAAATGCAGAATTTTGCCTAATGCTGTGTCTTACCTCAGTTCCTCTTTTGTTTGAACCCTGAGTATATAGTACAGGGCAGTCTGTAACGTGCCTAGTGCTGCTCCTGTCCTTCCTTCCTGTGAATTTCTGGGTACTCAAATAAGCTTGAAAAACCTTTGATCCAGGACATGTAGCACAGCTGCAATATGCAGTGGTCCATCTGCTTGATATCATGAATTTGCAAAACAAGTGATATTTGCATGAAACTCATCTGTTCTCAATTTTTAAAAAAATCTTTTTCTTGGTTGTCACATTTCAAGATTGTCACATTTGTCCATGATTTCATGTCAAAAGTTGAACCTCTTCCAGCTAGGACTAGAACAATTCTCCTATGTTAACACGGTGTATGCAAACTAATATTTTGCAATATGGTATTTAATATTTACTTCAATGTGACTTAATTAAAGGTTGTCTCTTCGAATTTGCTTTCAGAGTAATAGATGATACATCATATTTGAAAACACTTCTTCAGGGTGATGTGCATAATGGTATGTTTTTGCCTTGTGGCAGATCTGTGGCCATACAGGACATAGTTAAACAGAACTGAGAGGAAAATCTTGACTGCCAAGTAAAGCAGCATTATCAGTTTCCTCTCTCCTGCACTGAAAAAGACAGGGGGAGCAGACAGTGTAGGGTTTCCTGATATGTTTTAAGAAAGCCTGGGATTCATTTCCCCTCCCTTCCTTCCTATTAGCTGTTTGTTAACTCCCAGGAAGATCCAGGTTTTTCTCGTAAGAACTCTGCTCACATTCTGGAAACGGCTCTGCCTTTGAAGGGCTCAGCCCTTTGCAAATACAGGGGGAGGAAGAGGAGTTGTGTTGGTGATGGGAGTCTAACTTTGGGCAAATGAACTGAAGAGGAGTTTCTAATTGACAGCATTGTATTAACAATGATATTTTAGTTTAATTTGCTGGCGTGAGCATAGTACTTGTCCCTGCAGGATGCCAGGTGCTTGAGACAAAGTAGGAAGTGCAGCAAGCGTCAGTGTGAGATTTCTGTCCTTGGAGTGCCGAGCTGTGAACTTACAAGGAAGACTGTAAAGTTAAAAGAGAGACGTTCAACTTCTCTTTCTTCAGGAGAAGCCTCACAAGTTTCTTTGCAACAACTGAACATCCCTCACGTTAGGAGAAGGATGTGAAGAAGGAGGTGATTGATTGTACCAGCTATTGGGATGAGCACTGGTGCTGGATCTCCCTGTGCAACTGGAGTGCATTGACAACCTGGATGTTTTGTGGGGACTTTCCTTCATCTAACAGCACAGGGCTGTTAGTTTGGATATATTTATTTTGGATAAAACACTAAAAACTAGACAGTTTTGCACCTTTTTATATTGTCTTAAAATGCCACTTGCTAGTCTGACCTGCTTGTGTGAGGGGCTGTGACTTTTTTACTCATACTGATCACAGTAAGAGGAGACTGGAGCTGTGGCAAGATGTCCTGTTTGCTGGATCCAGCATGCTAGGAACTGAGAGGGTGATTCAGCTTCATGCAAAAAGCATCTTGATATTTTCACTCCATTAAGTGCAACTAATCTTTCTTTTTCCTTTCTAGTGGAACTAGGTATTGGTTCCTGAAGAAAATCATATACAATACAAATAACTGCACTGCACCCTCTTCAGGACTTTAAACTATGCCCTTTTTCATCATTTTTGGTATCATCTGAATTTAACAAAGAAATTTCACAGTCTGCTGACATTTAAAACAAAATCAGAGTATTTTCAGTGTGTTAGAAGAGAATTTCTCTAAAGAGGAGATCTTTGATTTCCTTTGCTGAATAGTTTGGTGAAGATTCACCCATGTCTCAACGCCGCCTTTTCAGGGAAGGACATGAAAGTCCTTTTAGGATCCTACAAAGATTCTTCCAAACCCCTCATGGCAGAAGGCACTCAAGAAATAACCCACATCAAATATGCTCTGGTGAGGTCAATGTATACGTGATCCTATAGTGTGGTGTGTGTGTACACAGAATGTTGCAACTAAACCGGAGCAGCATGTGAGTTAAATATGAGCAGTAAGCAGCCTAGGATTTGTGTTACTTTCAACTGACGATTCTTGCAGGAACAAGTGTTTGTATTATTTTTTCTGCAAATGCACTCATATAGGGTTCCAGCAACTGTTACAGTTAAAAAATACAAACCTTTATCAATATTAGGTATTACTCATGACAATAATTACTCTCTGTCACCAGTACCTACTGGAGAAAAATGTTATGCCTTGTTTTTTCTTGCATTTCCAGGTGTATGACAGTATCTAAAATAGATTTGAAAGCTTTACATCAGCCCTCCTTTTATATTCTAGAACATTGCTTGTGTATTCCTCTCCTGAAAAGTATACCTATTTATGCAGAAGAAAATATTTATAACTGTACTCAAAAAATCAAGAAGCCTCTGATCACATCTGTAATGTACTAAATTTAGGACTTGCCACCACTTACTCAGTCTCAAAATATGTTTCATACAGTATGTGTTAATGTGACTGATAATTATATAATCTTTGTGTTTAGTAAAGCTACATTTTGTTTTTTTCTTTTTTCTCTGAAATAAGTTAACCCTAACTGGCTAAGATAAGCTGGAGTAGATTTTTCAGTAATTAATTAAAACTTTATTTTTTTTAAGCACAGGGACCTATTATGGTCTTAAAAGAAAAGGGACTTTTTTGTTTCTTTTTAAATTAATTTGGAAATCTACATCAACATAAACTAAGCTACCTTTGTTAATTTTCAAGGCTTTTCAGAATTCCTTTATTTGATGTTGACATTTACTCTTAGAAAAAAAATATGAAGAGAAAAATGCCTCTCTGGTGATTTGATTTTTCTTACACCTTCATTTGTATTATGCTCACTGAGTCTTTTGTCATCTATGGTGTTTGGAATTAAAATTATAAGGGTTTTTTTAATAAACTTTTTTTTTTAATAACTTTTGAAATGTAAAGATTTCACGTTTCCTGACTTATCAGTTCTGGGCATTTTGTGAGGCCAAGATTTGGTACTTTTAGGAGTGCTTACTAGTAAATTACCAAAATATAACAATTAATTCTATTCAACTGAATTAGAAAAAAAATTGATGTCAATTGCTGTTAATAACAGTAAAGAAAAATCAGGAAAAAAATAGCAGTATTTTTACCACATGGAGTGCCATCTTGTAAAGCAAAATAAAACAAGGTCTCATCAAATTTCGGTCTTACTTTCACATAGAATTCGATTATCACTTGGTAGCACTCACACTGCAGTCAAGTCCATAGTGTAGCCAAGACACCACTTTCACCAAATATTTTATCATATTTATGTTTTTATGAGTTTCAAGCACCTGTTGGCCATTCATTAATGGATTGGAGCTAATCCAAAGTATAGGCAAAGCATTGACTACATAGGAGAAAAACAAATTTAATATCTTGAACACATTCTAACAAATAATATTCCTAATTTTTGCCTAATTTCCTTTAGACCAAGATCCTTAATATAAATCTTGTAATGCTGTGCAATCATGTCTTACTTACATCTTCCTTTCACTATTTAGAGGTGTGTGTATAGTCAGAAAATAGTATGTTTCTGTGGGAAGCTATCTGTTCTGTCTCCCACCCATCTTTATTATTATTCTAAAACTCTTTTTGATCATGTGGCAGCCTTTTCTGTTTGAAGTCTTCAAGTATGCAAAAATTCTGTTTCCTTTCCTTCCTGTTACCCATTTTATTTTGACAGTAGGAAAGCAATTACAGGCTTTTAATGTTAACCTTGTATATCCAATAAGAATTACTCCATTGTTTTGGTCGAAACTGGTTTATGGCCTTTTGGACTGATAAAAGTTTTCCCACCTTCCTGGTAGCAAACCTCAGCTTTCAGTGGCACTTGCAGACAAATGTTACACAGAAAGTGAATCAAAGTTTTAGATTGTGGAAAGGGACAGCTATTCCAGCCTGGGAACATTTCTGTGCTGTAGCTATGCTGGGTGAAATCCCAATTTTGGTAGAATGTATTTCCACAGTAAATGTGCTTGTGATTCTGTGAATTCCATGATGTATGCACCTCTCTTCTTGTGACAAAGTTGAGCTGCTCTGTCCTGTTGTCCCAAGTCTCACAAAGCTTTGTTCTCTTCATTAGCATCTCTGGAAATTGCTGGGAGTATGTTTGCTTTCCTGTCACTTCATCCTTTCCCTGCATGTTAAAATATTTAATATAGAATATAGAAATCTTTAGCTGAACAATGAATGTCCTAGTTCATATATTGATTTTGCATTACCTTATTTACCTTAATAAGGGAAGCTGGGCTGGCTTCCAGAGTCATCATTCTTCATCAAATCCATCTCTGTTTTATTTTCATTTTAACAAAGCAGACTTTATTTACTTACAGCCTGTTGGCAGTTGAATCTGTCTTCCTTGCCCTAATCTCCATTGCCATGTTCTCTGCAGGTGTCTTTTACCCAGGGCAGGCTGTGTTGCCTTTATCCGCTCCCCCTGGTTGAGCCCTGGCTCTGGTGACACTTGCTCTTTGGAATGCAGACGTTTGGGAGGACCAGGTGCCATGTGGCCCCTCCTGCCTGGACAGGCAGGGCCCAGGCTGGTACAGGGAGTGCTGTGAGACAGCATCGTGTTTTCTGAATCCATCCCTGACTCTGAATCCATCTTCTGTGTGCTTCATCTCTGGCTGCAAGTGGGGCAGCAGTTGTGGGTTTGTGGAGGATTTCAGCCCTGGGAAGCTGTGGCTCTGAGCAGTCTTCTCTGGAGACACCTGTCTCCCATCAGCACGGGAGATTTTCCAAGGTGCTGTGGCCCTTTGAGATGGGAAGCGTAGACCATGCTTTGAGATTCTCCCGCTTGTCATTTTCTCCCAGCAAATGGAACAGTAGGTCAGCTTGAACTGAGAGCTGTAGAACAAGTCTGGCAAGTGGAGATGCCAGAGACATCTGTCTTCAGTCTGTGCTGAGCGTGCTATGGATGGGGAGTATCTTTGGAGGCATCCTGTAGTCTGCATCTTTTCCCTCTGGATTCAGGTTGGTTTTCTGACAAAGATGACTGAAGCTCTAGGGCAGTTTGCTTTCGCGTGTAGTTCTAGCAGTGTGATGGATGGGTGGCAGAGGAGACTGTCTGTGTCACAGGGCCCTTCCAATCCAAAGAAGTTCTGCAAAAAGGTACAGTGAGCAGCACTGTAATGTGGGTATCTCATACTAATATGTTTTTGTAGTGAGTCAGAGCTTGGTTAATCCATAACCTGAATAATCCACCACAAAGAGTGAAGATGAGTAGAAGAAGAGCACTCGTGCATCGTGTTTGTCAGCCAAGGGGATGTAGATGTGGTACATCTTTTCCTGAAGCTGTATGAATATTTCTGTTGAATATTTGGGCATTCTTGTAAGGGGAGGGGGAGTTAGATTATGGGCAGGCTAGCAAAATGTGTGGATGCAGGAACTGTCAGACTGAACATACAAAATAGCAGAAATATTTAAGTACCTGAAGGCTCCAGTGTAGCTAAAGCCTTCCTGGAGCCTGTACAAACACTGCCATTTCTGGTCAGTGTTAAAATCTGCCACAACAACTTCATTACTGTTAGTCCCCACACTAGATAGGTCCAGGTGTGTGAGGCTGTGTTTACTGTTTGCTGCATTCATGCCTTTGTTTGCTGGCTGCATAAAGGTCTTTAAAACAGATTAATTTGAGATTTTGAGTTTCCGTGCTTGAGACTTTGACCTGTCCTGCTTGAAATGCTCTTGCACTTTTTTGATCAGAAAGATGAAGAAAAGAGTTAGGTGTGAATCCATAGCAGAGGTGATAAACTATACCCGTGAGTGAGCAATTTAGTATGACTAGTTCCAGATAGCATTGTGAATATCTGCATGAAAAACAGTTTTGCTTTTCCTTGTTAAAGCCTAAGATGAACAAAATATGCTAAGGGCTTATGTTTATATATATTGTATCAGACACTGGGTGTATCAGCAGTCTGTAAATATTCAGGGTGGGGTGACGAGGGGCGAACACTATAATTAAAGAGATAATTACAAGAACAATGGCATTAGTGGGGGAAAATATATTTGTAAAGTCATCTTGTGCCACCTGTTGTATTTATGGAACAAAGTTCAGGTAACACCAAAGCCCTTACCTTCTCGGGGCAGTTTGTTCTGAGCAGAGGAAGGAAAAAGTGGTCCTCTTTCTTCTCTGATGATGAATCAGAGAGGAATTTCAGTAGCAGAAATGAAGAGTTATTATTTTTTCTCAGAATGGTGTTCATGGCTGGACTTTGTAGCACAGGGTAAGTTGGCTTAACTTATAATAACTCCTAGATCTTGTAAATGTAAACAGACCTGTGTAGTCTGCTAAGTCAGGGGTGTGTGTAAGGTGTTGGCTTGGGGCTATGCTCTTGGGAGTATTTTAAACATGTTTTATATGCGCTAAAAAAACCCAGTGTATTTCAAGACTCTTAATATAAACTTTGCTAGCTCATTGATTCTTGAAAATACACACTGTTCATAGCAAACACATCATTGGAGAGACTGAGTGGTAAATGGTAGTATTTGGGTTGTACTTAAAAACCCTTCTTCCAAAGGAAGTAAAACATCAGGTATTTTAGGATTTAAATTTACATATAAGGTTTTTATAGACTTTTTTCTCAGATAGTATTCCTTAAACTTACTACCATTGAATAACTGTGATGTACATAACTGATTTATTTGGCTCAAGCAAGTTACTTGGTGAAAAGTGAGCACATCAGCAAAACCAGTCCCAGGTGACATCCTTGTGAAGACAGAAAAGGTCCCAAGCAGGATGTCAATCAAAAGTGAACTGTTTCTTCCCTGAAATAATTTTCAGAGCATCATCATACAATTTAATAGGAAAGTGTTCAATATATGTTTTCTGATAGAGGTTGTTACTATTCAGATACCAATTCAGTAACACTAGCAAATGTTTTTCTTCCTGCACTTAAGTGTCTGTATTGACTTGTCCTATAAATTTGAGGGACCTTAGCTTCCTTTTTTCAAAATGCGTTTTTCAGCTTTTTTTTTTTTTAATTAAAATCTGAATTCTTTCTGTTAAAAAGTAAAAGTGAAGGAAATGCATGAATTGAGAAGTGTATTTTACAGTACATTAAGATGCATGCTTTGATAGAAAGTAGAAATACCTAAAAAACATGACATCAGCAGATTTGTGAGATGGATCCTATTTAAGATTCCTGAAATTGCTTATTATGTCCTAGGTTTTTGTGTTAAAAAAGCAATTTGAATAAAATTAGAACATTCTGAATTGCACTGTTGTAAAAGTTGCTATTTCCAAATTTTTTGTGCCTTAATTCAGAGGAAAGAATGTTACTTCTCCAGCTGTGTGTATAATAAGGAAGGAATACATTTTGGGATACTGCTATACAGACCACCACTTCTAGGCTCCTGGGTGATGATTGTTCCAAGAAAACAAAGACTTTTGGGTCTCTCTAATGAGCAAGAGACACGCACACAGGGCTGAGGGCAATACAAGACTGTGCCTCTGGGCTCCTCTTCCCCAGATCCGCACTGACTGAACTCCATGAGCCTGCACCTTGGACCTCTTCAGCCTCTCTTTTTCCCTGTTTGCTAAGATTTAAGCTTTGAGTGTTCTTACAGGGAACGGACCTATTCTAAGAGTTGTCATTTGATGCTAAGGGTTGCACATGTGAATGGAGGAAAAAAATGTGAAAAATAGTTCAGTTACTTCAGTACATGTCAAATTAATCCTCAGAAAATGAAATCTAACTGTGCCTTTGATTCTTGAAATGGGGGTAAAATGTCTTCCTGACCATTAGTGCTATTTGAAAAGCCCATTTAATTAGAGGGAGTAGTTATATACAACATTATACCATTATAGGCAGCGAGCTAGTGGGAATTTATATTTTTCCTGCTTTCATGGCCACTGAAGAATATATGAAAAAAAAAAATAAGGCAATAGTGAAAGAAAAAACTTGGAGTTGCCCTGATCAATAATCTGAGAGACTTTGCTTCAATAATTTAGAGTAAAAATGACTTACTTTTCATATACTTTTGCTTTTCCACACAGAGAATTGTCAACAAGTAGATATTTACTCTCTGGGCAGAACCGGTCCTGGAGCCAGGATGTAGCTTTATTTACTCCCTTTATCTTCTTCATTGTTCTTCCAAGAAGTTACCAATCTCATGTGCTGTTGCAATCTGTTTAGTTCTGCTGAAGTCGTGCTTAATAGGACGGTTTGCACTACTTCCTCTTACTGTGTATGCTTACAGTGTTTAACAAAATCCCACATGATCTTCAAATTAACCTCAGAGGTTAAGCCTACCTGAAAAGGTTGAGCACACACGGCCTCGTGCTGAAGCAACCTAAGCCAAAAGTATCAAAGTTTATTGTAAGATTTCCAGCACTTCCTGACTAAAGCTAGCTCTTGTATTTACTTATTTATTTTATCTTATTTTAGAGCCATTACATCTTCTTCCAAAGCAGGAAGCGGATATCAGTGCAACTTTTATGTGTTGCATTTCTTGCTCAGTGATCTAAAAAACATCCCCAAAAAGATTTTATTTTAGTCACAATTTTATCCAACATCACAGTTTGTTTCTTGCACTTGGATTGAGTATTGCATGAGACCTTCTGCAGTCTTGTTGGTTGATGGTTTTTTTCTGAAAATAATGGCCAAGGGCTGCTGACAGCTCTGGTTTTCACATATACTTACTCTTCATTAGTATCTGTCAGCACTCTTTGGTGTCATTGACTGTGACTTTGTCAACTCACACACAATTTAGGGTGAAGGACCAGGCTCTTGAGTAAGTTCATTCTTTCCTTTTGGAGTGAGGCCAAAGAACTAACTGAAGGACCTGGGAATTTTCTGTAGGGGCTGCTGCTTCTTCCTTCTTACCCCCCAGGTGGAAAAAATGTGAGATTTTTCCACATACACTGTTTACAGCATGCAGTGAATCCCAGCCTCGTCTAATTATTATCAGTCTTACCCTTCTTTGTAACTTCAAAATTTCTAGTCAACTCTGGAGTTTTTTTAAATAGAGGTCACAAAAAAGTGACTCCAGGGACGAAGTTAGACAAAGATCCTGAAGGGCTCAGTGGCAATGGCTTGCAGTTGTCTTTTAGTAAGGAGTTTTGTCCACCTAACAAGCCATACCAGCTGGTGGAGCAGTTAGGAGGGAGTGAAGCTGTAATTTCATGTGTGAGCAGTTAGTCAAGAGTACACTTTTAAAAATTGCGTCCAGTACAATTCTCATGAAAATTTATCTTAGAGTTGTCCTTGATTACAACAGCTCTTGTGATGTGTGAATTACCTACAGTAATCTAAATCTGGACAGGGCTCTATTCTGAGAACCATTAGGAGTTTCAGATGGACAAGCTTCACATAGTTGCTTAGTTGTGTTAGTGATGAGTAGTTCTCTGAATGATTCCTTCTCTTGATTTATTTCTCTGAAAAATCACTTTAGAAGTGTGTGACATATAGTTTGTATGATCCTGTGGCAGAGAGATAATGGAACAACTCATTTACCTGTGTCTTTTGG